CAACCCACTATTTCTTACCATTTATGTTTTTCTACTAATTATTTATGTTAAATTAATCTTTATTTATATTTGATGTAAAAAATATATATTTGGATATTAGTTGGTGGGAAACGGGGATCCCTGTTCCCCGCAGGGAATGGGGATGAGGGGCAAAATCTATCCCCCGTCAAAAATCTCCGTAGGGATCCCCGTCCCTGCTATTCACGGGGATGGGGATGAGGAGAGACTCCCCGACCCCTCGGGACTCCGTTGACATCCCTATTCCTGTATCATCTTTTCTATTCACAGAAAAGAATGAACTAATCTGGAATGTGTTGTTAGTTATGATACACCATTGATTGCACCTACCAGTGCTTCTTTCAACAATGGGGAGGACTGTGTTCTGTAAGGAATGCTTCTTTCCAATAAACTCCCTTTCTTGAGCATAGGTGAGCCTGTCATTTCCTCACCACAACATAATGGAGAAGATACCTTAGGACTCAAGCAGCTAGGAGAGCGGAGAGAGTAGTATGGTTTTAAGTGGCTTGCACTTCTGGGAGACAAGTTCACTTGCTCCAAGGCCTGGGACTGGAGCACCGAGGGATAATCCCTCACACAGCCAATTCGTGGTCCTGCTCCTGTTGTCCATTTGCAAGACAGTTGTTTCCCAAATTGATATGAATTTACCTCCTTGGAGTTCATCCTTTGCAAAATTGATACCTTATCAATGTGCTCATTATCCTCACAATCACCATCAACCATCTGCAGTTGTGTTGCAAATGCTTCCTTGGATGTTCTATGATTATCTTCCACTGGAGAGTCCATTGAATTATCATTACAACTTTGCCCAAGAACCCAATGGTCATTTTGTAAACTTCCAGACAATTCAGCCCTTTTTGGTATTTCAAGATAAGCAAATCTCCACTAAGGTTGCGTAAACTTCTTGATTTATTTCCAATTCAAGTTTCTTGATCCAGGAATCAGATTTTGAACTAGTCCAGCTCAAAGCTTTTGGTTAAAGAACTTACCAGTAGAAGAAGGGTTCTTCACTCCGAGAATTAAGCCATTTGTCATCATAAAAGTGTAAATTATGTCCATATCGATGTCGTGGGTCAATCTGAATGAATAAAACAAAGAGAATTAGAATCAGTAACAGCTAATGAAAAAGCAACAGTGAACTGAAATCCTATAACTTGACTTACCGCCTCAAGCAAATGCTGCAAGGCAAGCTTCTGAGCTTTACCATTCTTTCATAAACCTTTTCCCACCTTGGCAGCTCTGGTTCTTGCTCTTGACCAACGTGAAACAGCAGTTTCATGTTTCTCTATGTCAAAGAATGATATAGAACTCCGCTTGAGTTCAGCAAAATCCAAGAGCTTCCACCTGCCATTCCAAACAATTAATTGCACAAGATATGATAAAAACACAGAAAACTTTATACATAGACGAGGTAGGATTAGCACACATAACACATACCAGCTCTGCTCAATGAGAACCGCACAATCTGCTAACGTTCTCCTTGTTCGAAAACTCTTGTACACTTTTGGCAATTTTATTGCTACCTCATGTTTTGGATTGCTTAGATCCAAAACTAGCAATTGTTGGATAGACCCTTCTGAACCATCTGATTTTGGGGATTGAGCATCAATTACCAGGCACTTTGGGCTAACTGCTTCAAATTGCACATTGTTTTCTTTATCTGAGGAAGTAGACTTTGTTGAGTGCATCCTCTCCAATTCCCTTCCTTTAAAGCTAACAGATCCTTCAAATATCATCCTTCCCAAACCTAAGGATTTCAGTATGGTGGGCTCTGAATCTCGACCCTTGAAACTAACAGATCGTACAGGTGTTTTCTCCTCATCATCTCCAAAATTAATGGATTTGACAATGACTGCCTCTAAGCCAGTTTCAATATCACTACATTTAGCAAATGGACAGGAAAACCAAGCACCCATCCGACTACAGTTGCTGTTTTTCCTGCAGAAGAGACCAAATTAACCCAGGCCTTACATTACTGACAATTCATAAAACAATTTCTGCTCCATAAAATCTGTAAGATTTATCTTAACTGTAAGAAACAAGATTATATTTGGACAAGCAGAATTGCTGAAT